CAGTGTGAAAGTGGCTCCAGTTGATGGATTCTTTTTTCCAATCACAGGATATGGAAAGCAGTCCTTATTTCTGCCCAGAGTGCAAGGCTAAGTTTAATTTTGAATTGTCAGATACAGAGAAGAAGCTGAAGCAATCACAAGTTAGGTATACACGATTTTTTATGTCTTTTTATTGTTCTTTTTCAACCATAATCAACATGCAAACTGCTTTAGACTCTCTGACTGTATGTTGAATTCTAAGCATAAAGTCATCAATTTTCCTTTCTATCTGAACAGGTCCGGAAACAATATCTGGCAAAGCACAGGGTCAGACAAGATAATTGTTTGGTGTTGCGGCATTGAAGGCACATATTTGCCAGAGCATCATGTGTAAGCATCATCTAACTTTGACATAAGAATATAGAAGTTACATAAGTTTTCTATATTACCACTTTGCTCTATCTAGTCACTTGACTCACTTTTGAGAATTTCAGCTAGTAAGTTGTATGTAACATGTCGAGGACAGTCAGTAGAAAATGTGCCTTACATCATGGAGAGGGTTAAGTTCAGGGATGTCTATAGTAAAACTGGCAAGAGGATTTTCCTCTTTTTTTTATTGTAGCAAATGCCACCTTAAATCCATTTTAAGAGGGGCAATCTAAGAGGATACATAGAAGCACATGAGGTTTGAGAAGGAGTTTAGAGTTTGACGGGTGTGAGGAATTCCTCTTCATGAATACACAGAGGAATTTCCTCTCTTATATTTTACAGCAGCAGGTGCCAAATGCGACTGTAGATCTCTTTTGGAATATGTCTAACAGTGGTGTAGCTTTGCTGTTGACAAGTGCTTGACTACATATATGCCTTCAAATAGTACTGAGTCTTCTGGGGTTTCCGTTAATGCTTATGTTGCCTACATCATTCAAGTCCTAATGATCATGAGGCACTAGTTCTGTCAATGTTTTAAAGTGAAAACAAGGAAAGAGAAGATGAAATCCTAGTTTGTTTCATTGAGAAAAATATGTGATGTCATACCCTGATTTTAGAGTATTTAATCATGGGAACACCAGGCAGCACAACAGCTGTGGCTTCAGCAGAATTGTTTGCATCTACGCAATAACTACATGCACTATTTAATGTTTTTTTAATTTTTATTTTTTACTTCAGCAGTACCTGGTTTATTAGCTACTAATCTGGGTTGCTGAAGGACTGACCTTTTATTGTGGTATCATGATCAAGGTAGCTAAGGCTGTATCCTGTGTCCTAGGTCCAATAATTGTTTGCTTGCATCTACTGATCTACTGGATATACAAAGCCAATCATTTAATTATTCAGTTTCACATTTATACAGGTTCTGATGCCCTCACTCTGCAAAGACAATGACTTGGTTTCTTGAATGCACATTTTAAACTTCCCAATTCTTGCTTCATAAGTTTATAGCATGATAAAGTGTGGCATCACTCTTCAGATGGGGAGCCTATAGCACATATAAGAAGCATTCCCAGAATAATTTTAAGTTTGGAACTTATGGAACAAAGAATAACCTTAGTTTTCTGGTCTGAATAAAAGGTTGGATAAGGAACGAGCGCATGTGTAGAATATTCAAAGAATAACCTTAGTTTTCTGGTCTGAATAAAAGGTTGGATAAGGAACGAGCGCATGTGTAGAATATTAAAGGTTGCTCCTATTGAGAATAAACTGAATAAAAGGTTGGATAAGGAACGAGCGCATGTGTAGAATATTAAAGGTTGCTCCTATTGAGAATAAATGAGAGAGAATCAGTTAAAATGGTTTGGTCATGTACAATGGAGGCCTCTTAGTGCACCAGTTGTGACATGGATAAGATCATAGTTAATGGGGGCAAAGAGATCTAGAGGTCGACCTAAAAGAACTTGGTTGGAAGCAATTCAAAAAAATTATAATAGTTAACATGTTACTTAACGGAGGAGATGATCCAACATAGAACCAAATGGAAGAATAGTATTCATGTAGTTGACCCAAAATTTGGGATAGAAGCTTTGTTGTTGTTGTTGTTGTTGTTAGTTTGCTGGTCAGGAAAGTTATACCTGGCTGATGGGTGTGTCAACCTTACTTGGGTAATCGCTAAATGCTAGGACAATGTCTTAGGCACTGATTAAACGAATTTCTTTCACTATATTCAAAGCTTTACTACTTTATAATATGTAATACTGGTTTCATTTTGCTCAAGGAGACAAATTATTATATGATGTTTGATTGCATAAGTTTATTTTTATCTTTCCCAGAGTTTCATGTCATTGTGGCTCTTGCAAGGGGCAAACTCTACCACCTAGTGAGTGGGAGCGACACACAGGTTCCAAAAGTAAAAGCTGGAAGAGCAGTGTCAAAATTAAGGGCACAATGATTTCCCTTGGAAAATGGGTTTGTAATTTTTTTTACTTTGTTTAAGCTTGCATGATAGATTTTTATATGCTTTCTTTCATGTAGTAAGTTGCTTAGTTTGTAATTTTATAAGTATGCAAAACATGGTGGTATCTTGTAGGCTACATTTCGTGAGATCATCAGACTATTATATTATTGGAGTTGTAACTTAAAACTTGGGTTTGTAGAGGAAAAGAGGAAAACTTTAGTCCCACATTGGATCCTGCACCTTAATATTATGTGTGACCAATCTATTACACTTCTTAGCGTTTGTTTCCCTGAAATGCTGTCATTATTCATATTTTTGTTTTTCTTCTCCTAGTCCCCACCCCTCTTTCTGTATGTATATGTGTGCGCTTATACATGTGTGTGGGGGTATGCATGATCTTTGTGTTTGTTAACCCTTGGTATGTTTGTCTTCTAGATATACAGCCATCCCTTAGCATTACTGTGATTATTTCTTTTCTCCAGTCATTTTACTGAGAATCTGATGTTTTACTTTGTTGCCTACCTGCAGCTAGATCATTACAATACAGTTTCGACAAATAATGGAAAACGACCTTCTCTGAAGGTAGGAAAACGAAAGTTGTTCGCTCTTTTACAAGGTAAACAATTTTCCTTGTTGCTTTTGGTGTTTAATTTAGCTAATGCTGTTGGTTATTGTGTCAAACAGATACAATGTTCTCAAGACCATAGCCAAATAAAATTCCTTATGGTAGTTTTTCATGTTAACAGAAGCATACGAGCCTGTAGATGCTAAATGGACTACCGAACGATGTGCTGTCTGCCGATGGGTTGAGGACTGGGATTACAACAAAATTATTATTTGTAACAGGTACTCCATATTATCGTTCTGATCCAAGACTTATTTGCTAATGCATTCACTTATGATTGTCTGTACTTGCACCCTATAAATATGTGTGGACTTTTGCTAAGAGATGGTTTTCTCTCTAAATTTGCTACGCTTAGTTCCAAACAATAAATAGATTCTTTCAGTTTCTCCTTCTGTTCTACCTCCCATTATCAGCATCACCATGAAATTCACACCCTCTCATTCTGGAAACGACCCCCACTTCCTACCAGCGCAAGTTCCACTGTCACTGCCAAATTCCAGCGCAAGATCCACTGTCACTGCCAAATTCTACTTTCTTTGTAGTGTGTAATGTCAGCATTTACCACTATTGATATCAAGCAACAGTCTTCCCGGTTCCATAACTGTCTTGCTAGTTGTCCTTGCAGCAGCCAGCGGGTTAGAGTTGATCTAGAGAGTGGATTTGAGCAAGTCATGGAAGGATAGGGGGCCAAAGTTGGTGCCAATAAGTATGTGAATGGTGCTTGAGCCGCATCTTATTATCTGTAACACTTCCCATGCAAGGATATAGATATGAATGGGTCATTTGTTAAAAAATAATTAAGGACCTTTAATTTGTTAAAAAATAATGAAGGACCTTTAATCCTTTCTTTTAACATGATGTTTTGGCAATTAGTTTGGGCCATTAAGATGTAAGAGTCTTAGCATTGATTTACAAATCTAATTCTTATAAGGTTGTGGGGGTGAAGATGTCTCTCCTTTGATTTTGTTCTTGGAACAATATGTTTTAGTTGCATTTTACCTTTTGGGCTGGTAAATCGGAGGAAGTTTTTAGCCAGAAAGAACTCTCTAAACAGTTCTCTCTCCTCGACGGTAGTTGTATGATCATTCTCTTATTATTCTGGCTGCGGGATTGCAGTTCATATTGAAAATGCTTCCAACTAAAATACTTAAACAGAACATAAATTCACTGATAAGTTAACGCTTGTAACTAATTACTTTGAACTTTTGATCTCATTAAATTTCCAGATGTCAAATAGCTGTCCATCAGGAGTGCTACGGAGCTAGGAATGTCCGAGATTTCACGTCTTGGGTTTGCAGGGCATGTGAAACACCTAAATACAAACGGGAGTGTTGCCTTTGCCCTGTAAAAGGTATGCACTTGGCACTCTGGAAGGCACTGAAATTTTATTATTCCTGCTTAATGACAAGTCTAAACATGTATCACGTATTTTAAGGACGAGTTCTCGTGCAAGTCTTGTGTTCTGGGTATTTAGGTGACATGACAGTTACGTTAATAACAGAGGACTTGAGTCTTATGTACATCTTGAATAATTTAATACCTCTGCTAGTTTAATTCCTGCAATGAAAGTATGATCTTGCTGCTGATATTTTAGTGACCATGTCACTTTAGCTAGCTCTTAGTAAAAAATTTCTATATAAGATTAACTTGTTTTCTGTATTTGGATCTTGATATAACAAAAATATTTTTCCTTAGGAGGTGCTCTGAAGCCAACAGATGTTGATACCCTTTGGGTTCATGTCACATGTGCCTGGTTTCAACCAGAGGTCTCTTTCAAAAGTGATGAGAAGATGGAGCCTGCTGTCGGTGTATTGAACATTTCGGCACAGTCCTTTACAAAGGTCAATATATGAACATGTGATTATGGATAATTTCATGATAAAAGAATCAAATGATTGAAAGTTACAAGTTCCTAGTACGATGGCAGCGTGGCACATGCTATTATCTGACTCCAAACGATGTAGCAGTATGTAGAAAGTGATAAATTAATAACTTTTTTTTCTTAAACCTTCAGGTTTGTGTGATATGTAAGCAGATGCATGGTTCCTGCATGCAATGTTATAGGTGTTCCACTTATTATCACACTATGTGTGCATCAAGGGCAGGATACCGTATGGAGGTAAATAATAGACCTTGTATATATACCATTTTGAAGTTGTTATCGTTATTACATTTCGAATAACCGTCTTGTAAACTTTCTTCCTTTATTAAATATGGAGTTTATCTAGGAAAGAGATTTGTTTGTATTTTTTTGATGATATCTTTCTTATGATTAACTAAATTTCAATTTGGAAATTAACATTGTTTACCCACATTGAAATATGAATTCCCTGTTTGGTTGGGATAAAATGTTCGTAACATAGATGGTTTTCTTATACTCATGAATCAACTCTTGGATCTTGCTGGTTGAGGTTTTGGAAGATGCATTTCTTAATGTAGATTGCAAAGACTGCCTGGAACAAGAAAGATCATCTGTGGCTGACTTTTGCTCAGTGTTCCAAATTGGTTTGTGACTTTGTGGTTGATCCGTGTTGTTAGTTTCTCATTGATTTCCGTCAATGCTAGTGGAACAAATTTATAGATACATTTCTGGTGTGTCCAGTCCTCATCTCTTTAGCAACTTTAATAACATCCCATAGACAGATGCATAATTGTAAAGGTTGAATTCTTTAGGAGCAGAGTCCATACAGATCCCAGTGGGGTGACGAAGGTCTGGTTAGCAATGGATGCTGGTTCCTGCAGGCTGCAAGCATTAATTAGCCTAGCAATGATACTGCAAACATATGTTGGATAAGGCCGAGAACGGGTTTGCCCATTGATGTTGGAACCTCATGATTTAAATGTCGTGAGGGTGAAAACCCATCTATTATGCTCACACATTAAAGAGGAAATTGGAAAGGAGTTCATGTATGAGCAGTCCAGAGGAGAATGATATAAAGACAGGGCACACTTTCTGGTCAAAAGTAGTTCCCGCCCAATATTAAATCCTTATTACACGTCCTTGTGCATTTTATTTCTATGTTGAAGTTATCTCCTTTGTTGAATGAATTCGTTTTTTTAATCGATCACAACGTGTCAGCATCTCTTTACAACTATCTTCATCTAAAACATGTTTCTTACTCCCGAACATTCTGACTAATAAAGTATGAACAATCATATAGACGTAAAATTTGTCCTATAACTTCATGTGTTTTCTTCCTTTCAAAACATAATAATTTTTACCAATTAATATTTACTAGTGCTAATATCTGATGCACAAAGTACTTTATTATTGGGAATATGTTCTCTAGCTCTTTGGTTTTTTCCCCTACCTCTAGAACTGACTGTGATTCTGAAGAAAGTTTGTTACTTTCTCCTTGTGGATTCTCAATCTAGGGGAATTTTGCAGGGTTGCTATTTAGTTGCATGAGCATAAATTGCACAACCAATAAGGTACATTTTCCTACCATTCAAATGGACTTCTAGGATCTAGGACAAACTCTTCTCTTTGCATAGTGCCTTGGCCGTTGAATTTGGCAACTGATTGTTCAAGTCAAAATTTTTATGGAGCCATGTTCTTCATTGGTAAACTATGTCTTTGATGGGAAAAGGCTGGATGATTATAGTGATGATGATTAGTATTTCAAACCGAAGACCCTTGTTGAGACTTGAGAACTAGATGTGTCAGATTGATCAGCTGGAACCTTTCCTAAAATTGTGTTATAGTTAGATCTTTGATTAGATCGGTTTATCCAATATTTGAACTGGATACCCGGATGTCCTAGGTTTCACATAATCAATGTTGTTGGTCTTTATCAGTAGTCATTTGGATTGTCATGCAAAGAGACAAGTGATGATGTTGTTTAGCAAGTCTGGAGATATAAGGAAACATGTTGTTCAACTTTGGGCATGGAGTGTCCTCATGAATTGATCAAATTCGTAAAATATAGATCATTGCTAAAAGATTAAAGTTTGGTACCAAGAGAAAGTTGATCACACAGCACATGTATCAGAAAAGCAGACATATAAACACTAAACTATTAGAATGCAAATGGATGACAGCATATATAGTTAACAAAGAATAAAAATTTTACTTTAATCGATATATTCAACATTCTTTTGATGATGTATTATCTTATGGAACCTGGAAGATTCACAAATAATCCTTGAACTGTGATGAATCTGCACACATTGAAGAAGCCATCATTGTGAGGAACTGTAGCTATTTTTATATCAATACATGACAAATACACACTATTCCTAGGTTGCAGGGCGTGTATAAGATAGAAAGGTTTAAAAGTATTTCATAGGATCTATGTGCTTCTTTTTATCTCCTCTTTATTTATGGGACCAGACTTGTGGTGGGAAGTCAGATGACTCTAAAGGGGCAACTTTTGATCTGATAGCTAGGTTTATTTGTGTGATATACTCAAGGTCACAGAAAGTGCTAGGCAACCTAGGTGTTGGACCTGATGCCTAGATCCTAGCCGTCTAGGCACCGAGGTGGTTCCCCCCCTTTTTTTTAATTTTAACAATTGATAGTAAATACCAATGTAATACAAAACACAAGCGACGAGTGGCGCCTAGGCGGATTTCTTTCTTTGTTTAGGTGGTTGTGTGGAAATTTTGTTGTAGGTTGGAGGAGATAGAGGATGTGTTAATGGTTGTAGGTCGGAGGAGATAGAGGATGAGTTAATGGTTGGAGGCTAGAGGAGGTTGGAGGGCGTGGAGTCTGCAACAGAGGAAATAATAACGTTCAAGGCCTAAATGGTGCAGTCAACGTAAGTAGCCCACGCTTTCCTAGGTGCTCCTAAAATCAAGGTGTACAACATAGATACTATCTAGGCGCTAGGCGCTAGGCGGATAACCTAGGTATCACCTAGGCCTAGGCATACGACTAGGCGGACTAGGCAGAGACTTTTTAAAACATTGGATACACTGATATATTAATTTGTTGGATATAAATGTGCAAAACTACTTCCTAGTGAGGAATGTCCTTAATCCTGATTTTTTTTCATTTCATCACTTTGTACAAATATATTTTAATTGGTATTCAATTTATTTGTTTCTTCATTGACTTCAAGCTGTTGAAAGCTTTTGCTAATGGGTATTATTATTTTAATGTGAAAATGGTGATCAGGCTTATTTCCCTCTGGTAATTGCAGATGCACTGTTTGGAAAAAAATGGGAAGCAGATAACAAAGATGGTATCATACTGTGCAAATCACAGGTACATTGCATCCAGTAAAAGTCAGTTCGTATCTGAAGGTCCATTATTTCTTGCAACTTATGGCATCTCTTGTTGTTCTATAACACCAAGCTTCATAACAAGTAAAAAGCTTAACGACACCTCATTTCATGCCAGAAGGGCTTGTACAATTGCATGCACGAGATGCTTGTCACTGGTTAACCTTGAGCTTAGAAGCAGTGAACTAGCAGAAATAGGCTTAAAATCTGCCGTTGAAATGTTACATACGGACATGCATGAATTATGATTATATGACATAAATTATAGGACAAATTTTCAAAACCAACCCTTTTAGCATTTTATTTGTAAAAAACGACCTATTTTGAAAATAATTACAAAAACCGACCTGTTTTCAGCCCAGCGCTGAAAACAGGTCGGTTTTTGTAAAAAAAGTCTCCGAAACATCACGGGAGTTCAACTCCCGTGAAGTTTATCGAGAAATTAAACTTCACGGGAGTTGAACTCCCGTGAAGCTTAATTTTGCTTAAAACTCCACGGGAGTTCAACTCCCGTGGAGTTACAGTCGAAAATTTGCCAGAGATCGAGTCTCTGGAAATTTGGCACTGCAACTTCACGGGATTTCAACTCCCGTGAAGTTGCAGGTCAC